TTTTTTGGGTGGGATTAAAGGGAGCATTTCTTATTTTTCAATAAACAAATATCCAATTGCTAATTGATTATTATATGGAATAACAGTAACAGCAGCAACAGCAACAATTTCTTAACCATTTCCAGTGTTCTGAGTATTATACTAAGTGCTTAACATAGGATATCTCTCGAGGTGTGAGGTTCAGAAAGGTAAAGCAAAGGTAACTTGTCCAGGGTCATACAACAAGTAAGAAGTAGAAGACCTCATGAAAAAGACCAGCAGGAAACCCTGGAGCCTCAAGAATGAGCAGAAAAGGTAAAAGAAAAGTAATAAAAGGTAGAAAAAAATGATTGCCAGGCAGAGGGAATAACAGATGTCATGAGGGCACTGGAGTGAGAGAGAAATGTGGAAAAGATCCATAGAGGTTTGGCTAGGACCTGGGGAAAGAGAGATGAGGTAGGCAGGGAGAGATTGACAGGGCCTTACGGGACCTCATTAAGTAGCTTGTGTTTTATTCTAAGGACAATGAGAGGCTACTGGAAGCTGTTTTTAACCTTTTCTTAAACCACATGAGGTTGTGTGTGTGTGTGTGTGTGTGTGTAAAATCCAGAAAAGCATCTAGTGAGGTATAAACAAAAATGGTTTAAGAAAGTCATTTCTTGAATGCCCCACCTTCTGATCTAATAGAGGCAAGGTTCTGGCCCAAATGTGTAGGTCAGTTTTTACTGCCCACCATTAATATTGCTAAAAAGAGTTCCTATGATGCTGGAAGAAGCTGTTCCTTCAGAATGCTTCTAGAAGGAGGTTTAATTAGGCTCTTATATCTGATGTTTTTTAGGCTGCAGTAAGGGAGCTCTTTCAGCTTTCACTGAGCCCTGTCAAATGAGGGAAAAATTAAAATCAAGAGAACAAGTAATTCCTGGAAACCTGAGTTGTTCAGTATTAGAACTGGAACTGTTGAGTATAAGGCTTTGGTTCAAATATATCATGATAAAGATACTTAAGTGACTAAACAGTAATTTGTGATTTGTGTATGTGTTGTATGTGTGTGCCATCTGTGATGACAGACAGCCCATTTGTGACAATCTGGAAAGATTTAAGCATTTTTTTCAATACTTACATATTTATTCTCATTCAGATACTGAAGATTTTTCTGTTTGAAATCATTATGTACAGAGTAAACTTCACAGGAGGAAAACCAGTGTTCTCTTCCCATTTCATTATGTATTGGGCTCACACATGCTTATAAGTAGCCTGCATTTGTTAGTTTTTTTGGAGAGGAGGTAGGTTACCTGATCTAGGATGACCTTTGTCATAACATCTGGTGACCGACAGCTGATTAGTTTAGGAGGCCCTAAGCTGGAATGGCTCATCTCCACTCCGCTACATGATTTCTCTTCCAGTGGGCTAGTCTGGACTTCTTAACATGGTAGTCTCAAAGTCAAAAGGAGTAGTAAGTGAGAGTAAGCACCAGTAAATAGACACTTTTAAAGCATGTGCTTGTGGAACATATTTGCTATTACCCTGTCAGCTAAAGCGTGGAAGTGTTTGTACGGTCAAGTACAGAGTCATTGAGAGGAGGGGATCATTCAAAGGTGTATATATAAGATGTGAAAAAAATTGGGGGCTGTTGCTGCAAAAATGCATAATAATTAGTAATTAATGTAAGCTTCCAACCTTTGATAAATCTTGTTAAACACTCATTTCTGAATGTAATGTATTCTAGACACTTAGTCATATGATTGTACCATTAGAAACACCTTCTCATCTTCCAAATGTGGAGTAGTGGTTTTTCTAGGAGGAAGCCAAAAGGAGACAGTGTTGTTTTAGATGTAAGTATTCCTGTGAGTGGTTTAACTGCTCCCTGATCTTGTGGGACTATCATCAAAAGAGCCCTTGGATTTCCTCAGTCTCCTGTTGAAGCTTTATCACAAAAATCCTGGCATATTAGACTGCAGTAGGTTTTGTAGTCAAGCAAAAAGACCGTTACTTGGGAATCCACTACCACCTAAGAGATGAAAGAAATGTTTGTAACTTTTTCTTAAAACCTTTATGTGGTTTATGATTTTTGCTTAAGAGGAAAAATTCTTATTTGAGTATTGTAATAAGGACAAAGAATTCTCTGTAGGTAATTTTTATTTTGTTAAGATTTTAAAATATCCCTGTGGTTAAAGTAAAGAATCTAGCATTGCACTGTGAAGTGAGTAACCAAGAACCATCAGTTTTGGGCGTCAACCTTTGACCTTTGTTCATGAAGATCTCAGAGGTAACACTTTTCACATAACTTTAATAGGCTTTTCCTTTAAGAGAGATTTTTTGTTATAGGGCTCTTATGCTCACCTGCGAGACAGACGGGCAGAAAGCGAGAAATCACCCCGCAGGGGCGGTTGGCCAAGCTGCAATCCTTTCTCTTCCATTCTCTTCTCGGGATCTTGGGCATGCATGCACATATGCCCGGTGTGAGTTTTAAGCCGCTGGCTCCAGGACTCAAACCCGGTTGACTACGTGGAAGTCCATCAATATAACCATTAACACCATCTGCTGGTCCCATTATAATAAGCTTTTACGACAGCTTGTGGCCTGAAATATATTACTTAAAAACTCAACCAGACCTTAGAAGGCATATGGGAAACTGAGTACAAGGTTTTTCTTGTACATCTTGAAGTAACCTCCAGGAAATTGTTCATCACAGAATCTTAGTTTCCCTTTTTTCCTCCTAAGATAAAAATTAAAAATGAAATCTCTCTGACATTGTAAAAGTCAGTGACTTGGAAAGAACAGTCAAAATTTATAAATACACATATCATTTGACTTAGTAAACACTTCTAGGAGTTTATTCAAATATTTGCATATTAGAGTATTGCTTGTAGTAGGAAAAGATTAGTAGTATCTTAAGTGTTAATTGTGTACACTTGCTGAAGAGAAGGAGAGATACAGAGAGGCAGAAAGCAAGAAATCATCCCCCCAGGGGGGATGGCGACACAGCAGTCCTTTCTGGATTTGGGGCACACACGTACACACCCCTGGTGTGAGTTTTAAGCCTCCAAGTTTGGGACTCAAACCGCAGTTGACTACATGGGAATCCAGCAACGTAACTATTATAGCATCTGCTGGTCTCTAATTAAATACTTTTTTTACAAAGACTATATGGTGATGGCAAGGTGAACTTTCCTAGAATCCTACCCAAGTTGACCTATTCAGAAATATCCCTGTTCAAAAAACTATCCAACTGATTTTTCCCCCTAGAAATACCTCATAGTAGTGTACTTCTGAATTTTTAACTGTAATCTTGCCTTTTCCAGAATGTCATATATATGGAATTATACAATATATAGCCCTTTTTGGTCTGGGCTTCTTATACTTGATTCATGGTTTTTTTCCTCCTACTGGGAATCCAGTTACCAGTATTTGTACCGTTCAGTTATTGCTGCACAGTTCTTGAATGTTGTGTTAAGTTTTTTTTCATTCTTTTGTCCTTTAAAAATATTTTTTCTTTCTTCTATGAGAGACAGACAGGAAGTCAAGTACCCTCAACAAGGTTTTCATACCATGGTCTATACCCAGCCTCACCCAACCCAGATCATGGACACACACACATGCATGCACCTGCTATGTATAGGGAGGCATTGGGACATGAACCTGGGACCTTCCCATTTTGGGTTGGGCATTGTAGATCATTATATTACCATTGTACTACTAGCTAGCCCTTTCATCTCTTTTTGTTTTAACTTTTATTGATCTGATCAATAAACTTGATCTCTAAGCTCACAAATTCTTTTCTTGACTGTCAAGTCTAATGCTGAGTTGAGCCCATTGTTTTGTTTACTGCTTTTTTTTATTTCTAGCATTTACATTTGATTCTTTCTTACAGTTTTCATCTCTTTGCTGAAATTATCTGGTTTTGCATATTATCTACCTTCTCCACCAGAGCCTTTAACGTATTCATCATAATTCTTTTAGAATTTTGCTTCTTATAGTCCCATCATCTGTGTCATACTGAGTCTGGATCTGATGATTGCTTTGTCACTTGGAGTATTTTCTTGCCTTTTGTTGTGCTTCATAAACAAATGAAAACTGAACACGGGCAAGGGATACTGAAGTAGATGCTTGATATATTGGAGAACATTGGGATTCTTTTTGTCAGGTCTTTAGTGGGGATTTGTGTTAATCTAGTCAGAAGGTGGCTTTTGTTTGTTTTTGCTATGGGCACCAGAGATTTCTGATTCCTCTAGTGATACCTTCATTTTTACTCTTGCTTGCCTTTGGGTTTTTTCCTGTGTGATACTTCCCAAGAGTTGTCTTTTACAGCTCTCCCAGTTGTATTCCATTGTTATTAACCATGCAGCTGGTTTGCCAAGTGGTGGTTGGTGGGGGTTGGGAGGAGTTCTCTGATGATCTGATTAAACCTCAGGTACTTGGGCAGGTACTAAAACCTGGATCTTGAGTGTGTCCTTCACAAAATTTCCTAATCCTCCAGGGGTAAAGATTTTTCTTTCCTTTTTCTCCAGCTTCAGTGGCTTTCTACCAGTGTTCTCAAGCCATGAGTTGTGAGTCCTTCCCCCTGAAGAAAATGCCTTTTGTTCTGTACCAGAGATAAAAGAAAGGGGTCTGATAGGTTTCACAGTGATGCTATTTTTCTTCAGTTTGTCATCACCACAGGAAGAGCTTTCTCTGAGATTTCCCCTGATCTTCTCTGTGATAGCCTGGCAAGATTCCTGTAGGAAAAGCTTGTAAGAGGGCGGGAACCCCCTGCATGGAGCTCAGGTGCATCACACTGTCATGCCAGCTCATACTCTTTCAGTAATTTTCCAGAATCTCTAGTTTTAATCTTCCTACAGGCTTATATACTTGGACCCTATGTCTCTCTGCAGATGCTTGTCTCTCCAGATGTCAGGATAGTAGGTTTTTCCTGTGACCTCAGTTTTCTGATAAGTCTCAAGAAAAGCAGTTGCTTTTCAGTTTGTCTGGTCTGTTTTTCTTATTGTAAGGATGGAAACAGTAGTTTCCTAGTGCTTTACATGTCTGAGCTGAAACCTGACTCCTAAAGAGTTTTAATTCATATAAATCTCTAATGTGGTATATGATACAGAGAAACTCAGTACATGTTAGTTTTTCCCTTATTTTTCTTTTTCATACTCCCTTGCATTTTATGGTTTTATGGTTAAGGAGCCAGGAATAATTGATTCTGGTTTGAGTTCTGCCAGTTTTAGGCTATAAAAATCTCTACAACACTGGCAGTATATGTTTGTCTTGCTCACTTCCAAAATTCTAAGTATGCCTTTGTCATTAGCACTCACTAATAATTTGCCTCATTCAAAATTAGAGCATGATTTAATCTGTCTAGATTATGTTTCATTAGTGATCATGTGTTTGTCTTTTTTTTTTTTTAATATATTCTCACATTGCCAGGTGCAATTCCATTCAGAAAACATTTGTTGAGTACCCACTGTGCTATATGTGATGCACTAGGTATTGAGTAGAATACCAGCCTGACCTGGTAAGTAAGTGGTGTAACCAAGGAGTCCTCCAAGGGCAATGTAAGCCCCATGATGGGAATGATATTGCATCTTGAAAAAAAATTTTTTTTGTAATTTATTATTTACATTCAATCATTATACGTCTCTACAGCCACACAATATGTTTTTCAGGGTATGTATATAATATACAACAATCAAATAAAAGATAAACATCATTTTCAACAGAGAACTTTACAATTTTATATCTATTAAGAGTTTCTTCTGGGGACCAGAAGATGGCATAATGGTTACATTGCTGGACTCCCACATAGTCAACTGTAGTTAGAGTCCTGGACCTGGCAGCTTTAAAAATCACACCGGGCACATGTGCTTGCATGCCCAAAATCCTGAGATGAGAATGAAGGAGAAGGGATTGCAGCATGGCCATCACCCCTGGGGGGTGATTTCTCACTTTTTGTGTCTCTGGTGAGCACACATACTGTATAGCAAAAATCTCTCTTAAAAAAAAAAAGTTTCAGGAACCAGCAGTTAGCGTAATGGCTATGTCGCTGGACTCCCACGTAGTCGACCGCGGTTCGTGTCCCGGACCCGGTGGCTTAAAACTCACGCCGGGCGCGTGTGCGTGCGTGCCCAAGATCCCGAGAGGAGAATGGAGGAGAAGGGATTGCAGCGTGCCCATCCCCCCTGGGGGGTGATTTCTCGCTTTCTGTCTCTATGTCTCTCTCTGTCTGTCTGGCGAGCGCATGCGCCCTACAGTGAAAATCTCTCAAAAAAAAATGTTTCTTCTGTGAGCCCCTCCCAACCACCCTCTGCTATCCACTGCTCTCATGACTTATTTTGACCAATGAAATGTTGCATGAGTAGCTCTGGGTGGCTTCTGAGCGTAGGACTTAAGTCTTATAGCTTCCCTCTTGCTCCTTGAGAATCCTGAGGCAACTCTATGAAGAAGCCCTGGCTAACCTATTAGAGGAAGAGAGTCAATGTGGAGAAAGAGAAAGAGACCAAATCAACAGCCAACCATCAGACATGTGAGTAAGGTCGCCTAAGAATATTCAACTTTAGTCACATTGCCCAGTGCCAGTAACTACGTGAGGGATCCTAGGAAAAAGCAGCAGCACAGCCATGCAACTGATTCTAGTCCAAACTGTTAATCTGTAGATTTGTGAACAAATAAAATTGTTGTTATTTTAAGCCACTAAGTTTTGGGGACATTTGCACAGTAATAAATAACTGAAAGTCTGTCCGTAGTAGGTTTTCAGTAAAACATTGTTGGAGATTACTGTCATCACGGTGGCACTCTTCTCTTTGCTTAGTACATAAAGCTTTCTAATTCTCAAGTCTTTCTCTGGTTCTCACAGCTGTTCAAAGCCTGGCCTCAACACATTCTTCTAGAATAACACTTTGCAGCCTTTCTTTGTGCCACTGAACCAGCATCCATCCATTTGCCTCACCATAGCCCCATGATAGTTTGTAGCCCTCCCTTAGCTCCATGTTGTATCCTTCCTGATTATCCTTGTTCATGAACCCTGTGGGGTCAACCTGTTCGCCACCTCAATGCCATAAATCTGTTTCCAACTTCCCAGCCCTTTCATCACCATGAACCTTCAATACCTGGGTCACATGGTTATAATTAGAAGGAACTTTAGAGATTATCTAGTATAACCCCTTCCAGTTTTGAATGAGAAAAGGAAGGCCCAGAAAAGAAAGAATAATAATAAATGAATTACGCAAAGTCACATAACATCAGCATCAAGACTAGAACTCATCTCACACAGGGAGTGGATAGACTGCTTGCTTTTGTGCATCACCTGCTTGGTTTGTGTGTGTGAAACTCTCTCTCCATGATTAAACTGGAAGCTTTTTTGGAGACAGGCATGATGCTTTTTGGAGGAAAGCATGATACTTTTTTTTTTTTTTAACCTTTTCACATTCTCCTGCTTATCTCCATTCAGAGACTAACCAGTGGCTGCTAGACACATCAGTAATCATCTATATTAATTAATTGACATTTAAAAGGCAATTATCCTCAAAACTATTCTGTATCTTATCTGTGGTGATAATTACAACTATGCATTTGTCAGAACCTGAACTGTACATTAAAAAGTGTAAATTATATTGTACATAAACTCTTTTTTAGTTGCCATAGGGACGTGTGTGCCCATCAGAGACAGAAACAGAGAAGGAGAGGGAGAAAGCACCTTCCAGTGGAGCATGGTCATGCCACAATCTCTTCTCCATTTCTCCATCCTGTCAGGATTTGGGGTAGGTACACTCATGTACCCAATGTGTTTTTCAAGCTACCTGGGCCACAGTTTGAACTACAGTTGGCTAGATCAAACCCAGTTCCTTTAACCATTATGTTATGGGGCTGGCCCATGTATATAAATATTTAAAATTATTTATTTAATTTTATTTGTTTATTATTTTCCTTCAATTTGACCAGAGTGACACAGAGAGAGATGTGAGAGGAAGACTGAGAAAGCAAGCTGCCAGGTCCAGGACTCATACTGTGGTCAGCCATGTGGGAGTTCAGCACCTTAAACACACCATCTACTGGCCCCCCGTGTATACACATTTCTTTTGGAGAGGCTTTTGCTATAGCATATGTGCACTCGCCAGAAAGACAGAGAGAGACAGAGAGAAATCACCCCTGGGGCGGGGGATAGAAATGCCGCAATCCCCTCTCCTCCATTCTCTTCTCGGGATCTTGGGCATGCACGCACGCACATGTGCCCTGCATGAGTTTCGGCCACCGGGTCCGGGACTCAAACCACGGTCAACTACATGGGAGTCCAGTGATATAGCCATTATGTCATCTGCTGTTCCCATAAATGTTTTAAATTAAGGTATAATTAAAAACAATTACCTGGGACCAGCAGTTGGCGTAATGGCTGCATCACTGGACTCCCATGTAGTCAACTGCAGTTCGAGTCCCGGACCCGGTGGCTTAAACTCACGCTGGGCACGTGTACGTGTGTGCCCAAGATCCCAAGAGGAGAATGGAGGAGAAGGGATTGCGGCATGGCCTTCCCCCTGGGGGGGTGATTTCTCGCTTTCTCTCTCTGTGTCTCTGTCTGTCTGGTGAATGCAAGCGCCCTATAGCAAAAACCTCTCCAAAAAAACCCAATTAGATGGAAGTAATTAATTTATTTTACATATGTGGCTAAATTTAAACATGTTACTGTGTGAAAAGTCTTTTTGAAAATAATCTTGCACATAATAAGCACTCAGTAATGTTAGTTTCCTTTTTTCTTGTACACAAATGCTTCATCACTTGTCAAAGCTGCTAAAGAAAGCATTCTTGTCTTAGAAGGTAGATGGATCTCGGATGACTTCTAAGATCCTAATGGTTTAAAAAGTAAATAAATGACTGTCTTGGAATGCTTGTGTGAAGTAAAAATACAAAAAGACTTCAGAAAGTTTCTGGAAAAATGAAATTAAAGTATGAGTTTATTTTGGTATAAAAAAAATTTGAAATACATGCATAGTATTTTTCTTTTGTCTTTATTTTTTTAATTTCCCAGAGGGCACATGTTCTTACAGGAGGGAGGGAAGGAGGGAGGGAGAGGGAGAGAGAGAGAGAGAAAGTGAGAAATCACCCCCCCTTCCATGGGAAATGGTCACACTGCAATCCCTTCTCCTCCATTTTTTTTCCCCTTTTAGGATTTTGAGCACACATGCACATGCAGCTGGTGTGATTCCCAAGCTGCCAGGTCTGGGACTTGAACTGCATTGTTGTTTTTGTGGGATTTGGTTTCCTTAACCACAAGGCCACAGGTTGGCCCACATAGTTTCTTCATAGTACATATCTTTTGTGAACTTTTTGAAGACCCCTCCCCATTGTATATAAGTACTACAATACTATTCTAAAATGTGTCCCTCTAGAACCTTAATTTTAAAGACTTAGACTCAGGTACAGAATAAACCACTAGCCCACCATTAGTAGAAATTATTTAAAACTGGGCCAGCAGGTAGCATAGTGGTTGATGTAGCTGTATCCCACATGACCAACTACGCAGTTCAAGTCCCGGACCTGATGACTTGAAAAAATACACCTGGTGGCTGTGCATGCAGGCACGAAATTCTGAAAGGGGATTGCAGCTTGGCCATTCCCCCTAGGGGGAGTGCTTTCTCACTTCTCTCCCTCTTTTTCTCCAGCACATATGCACCCTCTAGCAAATTTATTTTAAAAAAGAAATCATTTGAAATTTTAAAATAAGATGACTGAATGTCCTTTCATTATCAAAGCAGTGTATTGGTTGAGAACCCCACCCAAGGATTATTTAGTTCTCTAGGCGAGGGTGAATCTTTGGCTCATTGTTTCCTGATGGTTACGGTCTAGACTTTAGGTGAGGGTGAATCTTTGGCTCATTGTTCCTTGATGGCTGCGGTCTAAAATTTTTCAAGTAACATATTTATTAACTTAAAGATTTTTTTCTGGTAGAAAAGCAAAAATTTTTGTTTGGTAGAAGAAATAATCCCAAAGACTGCAGATTAACTTTCCTATGGGCACAACCAGTTTTCTCTCTAATTTAGCAATCTTATTCTAACATTTTTACATTCAGCGTCTGAATTTACCAAGTCTCTCAAATACTCTTTGAATCAGCTTTACATACTACTGGTTCCCTCATTAATAAGATAAATAGATCTTTGACATGTGTTCATTTCTGTATTTGTATGTGAGTCATGTTTTTAATTTTGAAAATTTTATATATGTGTATTAAAGTTTATATTTATTTAATTTTCCCGTGAGCAAGATTTATTTTTCCCGTGAGCAAGAGAGAGTGAGCATACCCCTCAAGAGGGTCCTGATGCTGCAATCCACCCCAAGCCTTCAGCCACCCCTGGATTATAGGCAAGTGCCTCACCAGTATACTCAAAGAGGTCTCTACACTTGAATTGGGAACCCTCCCATGTGGGGTTGCTTCACAGAGCATTGCATATTTACTGCTGTACCACCATCTGGTCCCTGGAAATTATATTTTGTCACCTAAACATCCTACAAATTGCCTGTTGGTCATACTACATCCTGTACAAAGTCTCTGAAATCTACTACCAGTTGCTAGTTTTTGATGCTGTGCAGCACCTCGAAATATCTTTGTGATCACGCTGGTTCCTAAAGAGGTCTTCACAGGAAGAAGACTGGATACCTGTGCAGATACTCAAGAACACTGCAAAAAGACTTCTGGAACTACTCTCACAAAATGAGAAGCTAATTTTTTTTTTACTATCGTTACTATTCTACCTATAAGCCAAGAGGATGACATTAAGACCTTTGTTTTAGGAGATGCAGGGCAGACTCACACAGGCCCTTCTTTCTGTCAAACACTATTCCTATAATCCACTTTCGCTAGTAATGTCCATAAAATAACTATATTATAGCAGTAAAAATTGATAAACTGCCAACTGCCTCAAAAATCTAATAGCTTTGGCAAAATATACTGCAGCTCATGAAATAGTCTCCTTTTCCTTAACAGGTTTTATTTTAACACTTTCCTTTATACACATCGAACAGCATAATCAAATGAACAATTTCAGCAAATGCCTATTATGTTGTAGGTACTATACTTGGCCCTATACACCCTACTTTTCCCCACTGCTAAGTAGGCACTATTAGGATTCAGTATCAATCATTGATTTATGGTTGCCCAGAATTAAAATGGAGAACAGAGCCTAAACAGAGGGTTGCAGTTTACTCTGTCAGGCTCAAAGGATTCAAAATGCAGTCAAATGAAAATGTTTCCCATTTTTAAATTGGTTGGTGGTTTTCTTACTGTTGAGAGTTTTTTCCCCAATATTCTAGAAAAAAAATCTTTTCTTGGCTATGTGATTTATCAGCAAATATTTTATTTCACTCTGTAACTTGGCTTTTTATTGTCTTAGTGATATCATTCACCAAGATTTAATTGTAATATAATATAATTTATCATTTTTTACAGAAGGATTTTAAATTTCAACTCATAATCTAAGAACCCTTTGATTAACCCTTGGTTGTGAAGATTTTCTCCTGTTTTGTTCTAAAAGTTCTGGATTTTTCTTTTTTTTAGGTTTTGCCACAGGGCTCGTGTGCTTGCCAGAGAGAGAAGGAACAGGGAAAGTGAGAAATTAACCCCAGGGAGGATCACCATGTTGCAATCCCTTCTCCATTCTCCTTTTAGGATTTTGGTTAAACACCTACAAAGCCACCAAGCTACTGGGTCTGGGACTTGAACTGCACAATCGGCCATGTGGCATCCAGCCACTTAACCCACCACACCACCTGGCGACCCCAGTATATTTTCTTTTATTTTTTTCCATTAGTGTTTTGTAGTTTTCAGCATAATGATTCTGTATATGTTTTCTTAGATTTATACCTTAGTGCTTCATTTCTTTTGTGCTATTGTAAGTTATTTTTTTAATTCAGTTTCCAGTTATTCACTCCTACTGTATGAAAACATGATTAATTTTTGTGATGACTTTAAACTCTGCTACATTGCTAAGCTAACTATTAGTTATAGGGTTTAAAAAATAGATTCGGGACCAGTGGGTGGTGTGGTGGTTCAGGTGCTAGGCTCCCTTATGACCAACCATGGTTTGAATCCCAGAGCTGGCAGCTTGCTCTCTCACTTTCCTCTCTTTCTCTCTCTGTCAAATTAAGTAATAATAATGATAAATGAAGTAAATAATTCTTTAAAAATAGATATCCTGGGGACCAGCAGATGCTTTAACAGTTACATTCCTGAACTCCCATGTAGTTGACCATGGTTTGAGTCCCAGATCTGGTGGCTTATAAAAAGAATTCATGCCAGGAGTGTGTGCATGCCTGCCCAAAAATCCTGAAAGAAGAATGGAGAAGGGATCATGGTGTGGCCATCCCCCTTGGGGGGTGATTTCTCTCTTTCTGTCTCTGTCTGTCTGGCGAGCAAAAGCACACATGCCCTATAGGAAAAACCTCTCAAAATAAGAAAAAAATAGATCCCCTGAGATTTATTTTATTTATTTATTTAGTTATTACATTTAATCATTGTATATTTTTACAGCATATAGTATGGTTTTTTCAAAGCATACATGCATTGCATATTAATTAAGTCAAAGATATTACCATGTACATCATCCTTAACAGATAACTTTCCATTCCTGTATCTGTTAATTATTTTTTTCTTGAGCCCCTCTGTCTCACCACTCTCCTCCTACCACTACCCACCACCTTCTATATAGTCTCTGGTATCT